ACACCGTTACAAGCAGCTCGTCCGACCTGCAACTCACACCTTCGTCCGCAAGCCCCACCCTCCGCTGTCCGTTGCCACGTGGCGCTGCTTGAAAAGCGCGGGCGCATTTGAGGCAGCGGTCCCACCGCGATCCAATGTCATTGGCACTGGAGCAACTAGAGTTAGGTTCGTGAAACTCGTCCAACGCGCCTCTTCTCTATCCCAAGGTGGAATGTGGCTGAAATAGGGGAGGTCTCTGTACGGGGCGTAATCGGTGGTTTCGTTTGCTTTCCTTCTCTTTTACAGACCACCTCCCACCTCTAGCTTCATAACTGAACGCTTTTCCACACCTATTTTATCCCGAATCTTGCCTTTAAGACGAATTTAATTCTAGTGTTACGGTTCCTCAAAAAAAAAAAGAATTATAGTAAAGTTTTCAATTTGTTAATGAAATAAGTACAATTGCCTTTTTGAAGAAGATAACTACGACGATTAGCAAAATAGTAATTCCGTACAAGAGCTGGAATTGGGTGTGCTAGTGAAAAGTGAAATGGAAGCTACGCTCCGCGTAGGTCAAATTTGGGTGTAAGTGCAGTTGGAAGAAGAAGAAAGAGGCATCGTGGCGCAATTGCTCGTCCCAGCAACAGTAACCCGTTTTTTTTACAGGCAAGGAAGCTCTGATGTTGAGGTAAGTGGACCAATTTGTTTGCCAGGAAGTATAGTGAGGATGAAAATGACTATGTATGTCATGTTTTGAATGCATTAGGTGCTTGCGCCATGATGCCCCCCACCTACCATATTTGAAGTAGAAAAAAATAAAAGTTAGAACCCGAGACTAAGGCGTCATTATGCGAATTACTACGAAGATTTAAGAAAACAATATCTGTTACGGAAGAAAACGTAAATATAGAGAGGTACTAAACGTGACACTACTGTACAACATGGAGTCCAGGCGAACGTAGAACTGGGAGTGGTTATTTAGGAGAATGAAGTTGAGGTTTGAGGTAGTTCTTGAGTAACATAACAGGCCTCATTTCGCACTCTTTCAGATTCACAATAAACACCTAGAATGAAGGAAGCGATTGCGTGGCATTTTCAAAAACTTTGCTCCTACTCCTACTGAGTGATTAACGAATGTATACTCACAACATTCGAAAACTACGCAATAGAGAAATGAGCACAGAAAGGCAGTTGCAAGGCAGGAGACGACATTCCACCTAGTCTATTCCCCACCCAAACTGAAAGCCTGAATCTAAAGTGAACCGACCTGTGTTGCGTGGTAACGTTGATGTGTTCCCGTACTCATAGGAATACGAAGTCTGGAAAGCATTCCAAAAACATTCACCG